CCGGCCCCGCCCCCATCCCCGAGGGGCTGGGAGGAGGAGAGGGGGGCGGCGACGCACTCCGGCCGCGCCGCACGCTCTCCGCTTCCCTCAGTCCCGCGTGCGCGCGCGCGCTCGCCCCAAGTCCCGCGGAGTTTAACACAATGCCGACGCCTACGCCGTGCGCAACGCCCCGGCTGGCGCAACAGCTCCGGCGCCGGGGGCGGGGGGTGGTCAGACAGGGCGAGGGGAAGAGCGCGCGCGAGAGCCGAAGACAGCGCGAGACCCGAGGAGGCCGGAAGCGCGCGTGCGCGCCCCCGCCCGCGAGCGGGGAGGCGGAGCCGCAGCAGTAGCGGCAGCAGCTGTAGGAGCCGCTGCAGCTGGGAGAAGCGCCAGAGAGGCCGGGCCTGCTCCGGTCGGACCGGATCCCTCCCCTCCCCCTCCCTCTCCGCTCCCCTCCCCCAAACCCACTTCCGCAGCTCGCGGCCTTGCCGCCGAAGAAGCAGCAGCGGCAGCAGCAGGAGGCGGCGGCGAGGCGTCGGAAGGATTACGCACCTGACGGGCCTGCCTCTCAGGGCTCCAGCGCGGGACGCTCACCGGCCGCCGCTGCTCGGGACGCACTTCGCGGTGGCGGCGAGAAGGGAGGGACCGGCAACGGGGAACGGAACGCGAATCGCCCCCCTCCCCTTCCTCCCTCCCTCCCTCCGATCCGCCGCCCGCCCTCTCGGCTTCCGTCCCCTCCCCCTCCCGCAAAGCCCCGGATGGAGCCGCCGCCGACTCGCCGCCGCCTGGCTCCGGGGGATGGTTTTGTCAGGCGGCCAGAGCCCCGGCGCCAGGCGCAGCCGCCACCACCCCCGCGGGGCGCCCCTGCCCTCGCTTCCCAGAACTGGGTCCCCGTGTGGTCCGGGCCCTCCGCCTGCCTTCACCCGGAGCCCCGGGACGGGGGTCATTCGTCTTCTTTGTTGCCACCGTTGGTGCCGGAACCGTTTGCGAGCTCCGGTGGCCCCCGCCCCCCCTCCGCCTTCCCGGAGCCTGGGCTGGGGGCGGCACGTGGGCACCGGCCCCGGGAGGTGGAGGCGTTGCGCGCTTACCTGTCGCCGGTGCTGCTGCGGCGGGGGGTGTGGAGGAGGCACCGCTGGGCAGCCTTGGCCGTGCTCTCCCCGCCGCCACCGCCTCTGCCTCTCGCTGCTGCTGCTGCTGCTGCTGCCGCCGCGGTCGGTGTCTCCGGCGCGGCGGCGGCGGCGGCGGCGGGGCTTTTCCTGTCCGGTTACGTTAAGGTCACATGACCGAGAGAGCGGAGCGACTAGTGCAAAGAGGCTGAGAGCGGCTCCCGCCGGGGGGGAGAGGCGGCGAGAGAGCAGTGGCGGCAAGAGCCCCCTCCGCCCCCCCAGCCGCCTCCGCCTCCTGCTGCTCTGCCGCCGCCGCCGCCGCCGCCTGCAGCACTAACTACACTGCCGCTCCCACCCAGGCTCCGCTGTGCTCCAGCCAAACTTCTGCAAACCATGTGCAGCCGAGGCGAGGAAACTTCTCTCCACCTATTGGGGCTGGAGGCTTGAGTCACAAGCCCCATGTTTACATAAAGTGTTTAGGTAGGACAATCCTGGAGATGCTCGGGGAAGGGATGCAGAACTGCTCGGATCCTACTGCAAGCTTCTGCTTGACATCCCTTGGCCATTACCTTTGTCCCTTTATTTCCCGTGTGTTACGAGTTTTCATCCTAAGACTTGAAATAAGTGGACTTGAGAGCTAGGGAGAAACTTGTAAGTCACTAATATACTTTTCTGTCACCAGTGGAATTGAAGAGTCATACCGAAGTCGATATGTCAGTTTGTGCTGTGTGTGAAGAGGTACACGTGCTGCCTTACAGACTAGTTGAGTGTGATGTCAGACGTTTGTTAGGATGGAATTTGATGCTTATTTCAGTAATTGTGTTTTAGTTTATGGCGCGTTGGTCCAAACAAAAAAAAAGTTTGCAAAGCATGTTTGTTACTTAAGAACAGTTTACTTGCCTGTTAAGTTTTGGTCTCTGTGGTACTGTTAAAGTGGATTTAGAGTTGGCCATTCTGTTAAATTTGGAGGCCCTGAAACAGGGTACATGGCAGGCAGGGGACTTAGATTCTCTGGTGGTCATTATTAACATTTTAAAGTTTATTTTTGTGTTGTTTCCATTTTGCTAGAATTTTATGTCTTTGGAAATACAACTTAATTTTTTGAGGACTGGATTTAATTCTGTATTTTACATATCTAGGATTTTGGAGATTTAAGAAGAATATGGCTTGATTATTAAGGAAATGGAGGTAGCGCTTTCCAGGATTCTCTTTGGTTTTAAAGTATGCAACTCAGTTAATTTGATGTTGAACTCATTTTGGTTTACAGGGCCAGACTTTAGCACAGAGCTTTGGCACATACTTCCCAAAATATTTAAGGCAAGATTAATAACTTAAGACAATTTAACATACATAAGTGCCCCCCTCCTAAAAATGTGAGTTTGATTTAGTAATCCAGGGCTCCTGATGACTAAGTCCTTCCTCTCTGAAGACAAAATAAGCAGCTGTGTAACTTCAGTGGTCCAAAAGTGAATAATAGATTTCATACATACCTGCCTTGAACTTTCTTACTCTTTGATCAGCTACATAAATGACTTGAGTGGTTAAATGTCTGCCTGCAAAACTGCATTCTGATCCTGATACAAGTATTTTCTAGTGAACTAGCACTAACACATCAAAGTTGGCCTTCAAACTGGCATGCCAGTTTCCTTGGATTGGCTCTGCAGTTGATGTCTGTTTCATCTTACTGGGAAACTAAAGTGATTAACTATTCTCATTGGTAGACAGTCATAGAGATCTTTGGCTTCTTAATTCTTTTAGACCTTGACTGAACTTTCAAGTTTATGGTGTGATGGAGTGCTTACATGGAGAGTGACCTGACTTGAGGGAAACTAAAGGAAAAAGTGGGCAAAACTGTGCTAAAGTTTTGGATTAGTTTTAGCCACTGTGTCTAGAGTATTGGCCTTGAGTCTCAAAGTAACTGCTTATTCTTAAGACCAGTGAATAGTTTTCCAGTACTATACTCTTACATAGTTGTACAGAAAAAAACCAGGGTTATTCCTGAAACTCTGGATCTCATTCCTAGAGAACGTGCTGTCAGGAGCATCCTAGTCTCTTCAGGAGCTGCGGCTCTCGACTTTAGAACTGGGCTGCTTTGCTGCCAGTTTTCTCAGGGCATAGGCATGCGTACTTGAATTTTGCCAAGTATGCTAATTATTTTGATTTTTAGTCACCATCATAAAGTAATAGCATTAGAGGAATTCTGTGCAAGTTATATCTGCTTTCTCCAGTTTGCTGAAGTGGAAGTATTTAGGTGGATACATATGCAAAGGTTGGGGAGAAAATAGTCATTGCAAAGAAGAGCTAGTAGTGTATCTCAGGATTGGGACAAGGAAAACTGTCAGTCTGGTTGTGGGAGAGGCACAAATGCCCTGAGTTCAGTAACAAGAAAAATAAGAAGTTAAATCATCTGTTAAGTGCTTATGTACTGATTTATTTTGGTATTTGGAAAATAAATTCGGTAAATTTGTTTCACACATTTACTTCAAAGAAAATCACAGTGTAAGCAAATAATCTAAGTGGATTCATCAAAAGTTGAATTATGCATAAATATTCTAGTCATGTGCTGCTGAAAGTTTTGATGCATGTTATGCTGAAATACAATTAGGAAAGTATGCACTTGCTTGTATTCTGAAGAGGGTAATTCCAGTGAGATTTGGACAGCGGGCAGAAAGCAATTTAATAGTACTGTACTTAGCTTTTTTTTTTTTCCTTTTTGGCAAAAATTTGTTGTGCATGTGTGCTGAGGTGGAAGGTGGAAGTTCCTTTAACACTGATAATCAAAGTAATAGGAAATAATAGATGTGGGTAGATCCCAGAGCAGCTTTTTCACTGCATAATTTTATAAGGATGTCCTCCTGGGTAACCTCTTGAATTAGGAAAATGACATGTTTTTTCATGTTTTAAGTCTACCACGCCCTCTGTGTTTTGTGTGAAGTTTAAAATATAAGAAAAGATGTATTTTGAGAGTGTCTTATGTATCATTGGCTTGGTTATAAAGTTTATAGGAAATGCTTATTTTATAGTTGGTTGTTACTGAGTCCATATTCCCTCAAGGATTCCCTATGCTTTAGGAAGTTTTTGTTTTAATCCTGTTAGCGTTGGCTTTTGGGTTTCATACGTTTTTAGTTATAATTCTAAGATATATATTTTATTAAATGCTACCTGGAATACACATATATGTAAAATTTAAACCGTTTTCAGGAAATAGTACTTGTTCTTTTGAGTATAGAATTACTTTTTTCTAACTTAAAAAAACCCCTGATTGTGGTGGTTTAAATTGATTCCATCAGTCACAAATGAATCAAGGTCCACTTTTTGAAAAACACTGGTAGATTAGTTTTCTTGCTATTACAAATTACCCCAAAACTTCATGGCTTCAAATAATAGACATTTGCCTATCTCATACAGTTTCTGTGGGTCAGGAATCTGGATGAGGTTAGCTTGGTGGTTCTGGGTCAGGGTCTTTCATGAGGGTTACAGTCAAGATGTTGCCTGGGCTAGAGGATTTGCTTCCCAGGTGGCTCATACTCTAGCAAGTTAATGCTGGGAGTTGGCTGGTCTCAGTTCTCCAACACGCTGCTTGAGTGTCCTCACAACATGGTGGTAGTTTGTTTCCCTCAGGGCAAGTAATCCAAGCTAGAGCAAGGAGGAAGCCACACCACTGCCACATGCTGTTAGTTAAAAGAAAGTCACTTAAGTCCAGCCTATAGCCAAGGGCATAGGAATTAAGCTCTGTGTCTTAAAGGGTGGAGTATCAAAGAATTTATGACATAATTTAGTAACTACGACAGTTATCTATTTTTCCTGTTTATGGGTGAATTAGGATTGAACCAGAAGCCTTGTTGAAGTCAATCTGTAAGTAATTATCTTAGTTAATTAAGTCAGTATTTTCCTCTGAGGGCATCTAGTCTCACACCCTCAGTCTTCAATTTGAGAAGGGAGGCTCAAAGAAGTTAAGTAATTAACCAGCCCATGGCCATTCAGTCTAGGAAAACTAAATAGATTTTTCTCTGATTTTTGTCATGAATAATCTGTATACTGATTAAGATGAGAAAACTTGTTGGTGATTTTTAAAAATCTGAAGAAGTTATAGTATATAACTTGTTTCCTAGCCTCTCCTGGTTTGCAAACTTCTACATGATAGTAATACTTTCAACTTATTTGGCCTACACGTAATGCCTTGGTGTCTATGAATTTGCAGACTTCTCATACCAGCACCCCCTCCCTGTTGATTCTTAGAGGAAACAAAATGTACTTAGGAAATTAATTCAGACTACTTACTGTTCGCTCCAGATGCTGCACATACACAGACCTCGAGATTGTATTGTGTAACTATTCCAAGTAGCACATTTTTAGGACCTAAAAGATGTTATAACAAAGATAATCAGGGTCTGTGTATGAAAGAAAATGATACCACCTTCTGCTGTGAGATTGTCATGGAAACTTTGGATCTAGTAAGATTTGTTCTAAGACTCGTTTTGGCTTTGTGGTATAAGAAGTTGGATGGGACCCTGACATGGGTAGTTTGAGTGGAGCCAGGATAAATTTCGAAAGCTTTCCTTGATTTTTTCTTTTAAATCCAGTAGCCCTTCCTGAGTAATAGATTGGGGATACAGTAAATTATCTTACACCTTTTGCTGTTGTAGTTGGATCATGGTGGCTTTGTTCTTAAACTGCTTTCCAGTTTCTCTTACCATCAGAACTCCTGACAGTTGCTGGTCTGCCCTAAAGCACATACTTAACCTGATTCCTCCTCTTGTTGTCTACCTGTATCTTGTTTCTCCCACCCCTCCTGTAAATGCTTTATAGGGACTTCCCTTTTCTAGATATTGCTGGTACTCATTCAAATGCTTGCAGAATT